ACTTTTTGTATTTAAAAGTATTTAGATATATATTTTATTGAGTTTGTACATTCAATTGAAAACTGCAACTGAAGTACATTTATGAACAGTATTCTTAATGCTTATACATTGAGAAGAGAAAGTTTCAACAGGAACTCAAGGCTCTTAATGCAGATTACTGATGTTGCCACTTATAATTTTCAATTACAATAGTAACCCGTCTCAGTTGAAACCTTCAGTAATTATCAAGTAGTAGAGCTGTTCGCATTTCTTCATACTCTCCTGTTGTTAAACTTTCTTTTTTTTTTTATCTTACAGTTATATGTTCATTAAATTTTCTGATGTAAAAGAAAAAAAATCACAATTCCTAACTTGAATCATGGTTTGTTCTTACTTATTGTATCAAATACATACAGTTATGGTTCCTTTTGTAATGCAGGCTGTTTTTTACAATAAACTTGTTCATCCCTGATGTCTATGTTCCAGTCTCTGTATTCCAGATTTTAGCCACCTAACCTTGCGGCTAAAATTATTTTAATCAATTCTTGTTCAAATTGTTGAATTGAACTTGCAATCAAACCTATACAAAACAAGACCCCACGGAAGTACCGCTAAAACCCAGCACTAGACACACGTAAGGTGAAGTAACACAATATTTTCGTTCTTTTTAAAGTTATGCTCTTTTTCTGCTCCAAAAATGAAAACAATAGGTTCACAAAATGTCCTACTGCAACACACCCAGTAAAAAATTAATTCTTGCATGATACGCATGCCTGTGTTTGTACCTAATGTTTTTCTGCTTCTGGTGTGCTTTCCAACAGAACAGAGTACAGTCAAGGCTTCTCTATTTGTCAACCAGTCTTGATAATTTAATAAATTTGAAACAAATTTTCGTTTGTTTGTACGCAGGGAACTTCGCTGGCAAGGCAATCCTCAATGGTACAGTGTGAAAATGTCACAATGCAAGGAGTTATGTCCTGAGAAATCCTTGCTGGGCATCACCACATGATCTCAGAGAACTTTTACTCTTTGCAAGATTAAGTTCCTTCAATAGTAGACTATCATAATGTTTACCATATGTTCTTAAATTATTGAGAATTTCAAGGTCAGATTGCTAGTCATGAGGGGTGTATTTTATTTCATGCTGAAAAATGTTGAGATCCGGCCTCATTTTTACAACCCTTCAAACAGCCTTATTGTATAGCTCCAATTAACCTTTCATGAAAAATTTCAATCAAAGGTAGATTGTGACATCAAGGTTTGCCACCACATGATAACAAAGACAAATCACATATATGTTATGCTAAATTAACTCTGTACTTGAGATAGCAAATCTGTTGCAATCAATAAAGAAAATATATGGACTTTGCTTATTATGTCAAAAAAAATACATGGTTGGTACCAACTTTTTTGACCTAATCATCATGCTAAATAGAAAACCTTATTGTATTATTGTACTGATGAGTAGCACAATCACCATGCCCATAGGGGGTTGACTGCAAACTTTCAATGATTTCTTCTGTTTTACATTTTCATTGAAGCCAAATCTTTGCTTACAGGTAAAATTGTTCTTATTGATTATAGTAAAAGCAAAAAATCAGAAAACCACATTACTGTCTTTGAGAAAATACCCGTGAAAGATGAAAAATCGAGCCAATTTTGGTTGTAACGCGTAACACAATCTCAGTGGTAACATTTTTTAAATACATTTTTCACTGAAAAGAAAGCTCGTTTGAGCAAACAAATTACACCTAATGATAACACACAATAAACACTACATTTGAGCAAAACTTTGACATTTCAAGTTTATTAAAACGCATAGAAAAGATTCATCATTCTTAAGTATCCTTTGTGTAACGCTGGGTTTCAGAATTTGGAAGTACACCAAGTTGTTGTCCGCAGAATGACTGAACTGGAATCCTGTGGGAACAAAAACACATTAACCAAATGCTCATACTTGGTGTTCTAAAATAGCGAAAAATCAGTCTAAAGGATTGACTATAAACGGAGAAATATCAGTGTAAAACAGTCGCTACGGTTTTGTAAAACCTGATTACGCAATAATATTTTTCATCAACTTACCTTCTCCTTCGCTAATATACTTCAAACACGGCAAAGTCGGGTTTCGAAATCGATTACACTTCAATGCTCATAAGTTTCTCTTGTCATTTCCAAGTTTTCGGGTCCATATCTTTAGAAACGGCCAAAATATTCACTTTTGACCAAGTCGCTACGCTTTTTACCATGTTGACGCCATATTGAGAACGGAGTCTCGCCACAAATGCAACCAAAAGCGCTATGAAATCTGCTGTTTGCTCCGCCATTTTCGCCTTCATCTTTTCATCTCCGTGTCGAAAATATCTTGGTAACCTTTCCTATTTTGGTTTCTGCGACGTTATCAAGGGTCGGGGGTCTTCAAGCTCAATAATTTTTCTGAGATTTAGCCATCTGTAAATATCATTTCAAGTGTGTCGGGAAATGGTGCTCGCCGACAAAGGAAACTCTCGCGTAGCCTATTGTTACAATCACGCGTTTCGCAATCAGTTCATGCACGTAACATAAAAAGGTAACACAACTCGCTTCCGGTCACGACAAGTGCGCTTGACAAGAGGTATGGTTAACGAAAAGGAAGAAAAGCTTGCGAGGATCAAAGAGTGGAGGAGGAAAAGTAGGAAAAGAATAGGCTAAGGAATCTAAAATATAATGAAAAGAATCGCAAAAAGAGAGCTGAATTTCCAAGAGAAAAATGGTGATGTGATCTTCAAGTTGTAAAAAGAGGCAGAAAGTCAGTTTTTAGAGTGCCAGTTGATCTCACTAGGGAGATACTAGCCTCCATGTAATACAAAATGTTATTATTTCTACTTTTTACTGTGTCAGTGAACTCAAAATGGATTATTTGTGAAAAAGACCACACCCACAAGGGATTATGGGTAAATACAAATTTGAATCAAATGTGACAAAAATAAAATAGTTTGAAATAAATCAGTTGTAATAATAAATGTGAGTTTAAAACAGACCTAAAGAAGATTTTTTAGCAAACATTTTAAATGTTACATTGTGCTACTCATCAATTGTATTGTATAACAACAACCCAAAACAAAGATACAATAGACTGGTATTTCCTAAAGAGTGTTTTGAGCCAACATCGAAGCATTTTCCTTTCATCTGTACAGCATATGTGGACACATGCAGAGTATGACAGGCCTGCAAGATGACTAATTTAAACATGCATAATACCCAAACAAGTGATGTTGAGTTGCACACAATTTTAATAACATTCAATGAAGAAAAAGCAGTTGGTCATCAGGCTGAAAGAAAAAAATTTTGAAGTTAAACTCCAAAAGTGATTCATAAGTAAACATATGAACAGTGGCTTTGTATTTAACATATTTTTATCTACTGTTTCAAGGAAAGAAAAACAAATTTCAAAGTAATAAAATCAAGAAGTAAAGAGCACCTCAAGTAGAGAGATTTGATGTTGCACAGAACTTAAACATTTCCTTAACCCTTTACACCCAGCTGGTTACATCATACAGTAAGCACCTTCTCCATACTGTTCCCCATACATTTCCTATTAAGGTGCTGATGATGATAATTAATTATTTTCTTAACAATCAAGACCTTTCATCCATGATCATTTGCTTTATCTGTTTGACCTAAATTTTTGATTAAGGGATGATATTGTAGGGGGTTATTAGATACTAATCCCTCTCAAGGGTTACAGGGTAAGGCAAATCCCGTACAAAACTTTCCAAAAATATCAGGGCAGTTAATAGAAATGTAAATGGGAAGGCTGAAATAAAATTTAAGGTGAGCCTCTGCTCAATGTGTTTCTTTTTTAATCTTACTTTGTGTTGTGGTAAAAGAAAAGACAATGACAGAGTGATTACCACAGTTACAACTACCGGATTTAAATTGAGGAACACTCTGTTTGATATGCCCTCAAGGAGAACAAGGTCATCTCTCCTCATATAATTTTGAAGGTGTATGTAGAGTAAGTCAGTTTTGACAAGGTTGGGAAAGTAGAATAAAGGACTGAAAGTACAACATTTGCAGATAAGGCAGTCATAAAAAATGGTAAATACTTGTGATATTGTGGATGAAAAAGCCAAGAAACATCAATAAAGACATCATACAACAACAAGCCTTCTACGAAATATGTACACAACACCAAAGGTTTATTCTTTCACACATTATTTATTCATTTATTTATCCACACATGTATTTTCTATTAGCATACCCCAAAGAATAATGTTATTTTCAATCCACTGGTTTTATTTTTAAGGATGTCATTTTTTTATTTTACAAAATAGAAATTGATTGTTGATGTTTTAAAATCAATGTATATTTTCCAATGAGAGGCTAACAACGAGCCAACAACACGTGCAACACAAGTCAAGTAAATAATAAAAAAGTCTTTGGCAATAACCAATATACAAAACAACCAAAATATGAACACAATCGAATCACAACCTTCAGTGGTAACCAATTTACGACACAAGCCAGTACAAATAAGCACAATTTTTTGCTATCACCAATTTACAACACTTTCTCTCAGCAGTTTACAACACAAGCGAATATAAATTAAACAGAGGAGCTCATAAAGGGTTTACAACACAGATCTACAAGCCAAAACAATAGGCAGCAAGAGTGACACTGATCAAGAGTATTTAGCGCTCACCAAGCGCTTTATAAAATGAGCTAATGAAATAGATACATACACTTGGTTCACCACTGCTCAATACGGTTCGATGAAGTAACAAATTAAAACATAAAAGGATGGATGAGCAAAATCACAGAATAGTGAAGAATTTATCTCTGCACTAAATATGCACAGCCTTAGTACCGCTGACCGGCTTAGCAAGGAACCTTGGACTTTGAATGCCTTTGAATGCCATTGAATACCTTTGAAAGCGTTTGGCATTGGCGTTATGTGTTTGCAGTCTGTTGCGTGATGTTTTCGTATGGTAAAAGTCAATCAAAGATAGTGTCGGGTTTCCTTCCAATGTTACGTAGTTGAATTTCCTCCTTCCCATTTCAGCGAATTGCACCAGGTTTTGTCAACAACTACATTCAAAAAGGCTAAGATGTCTCAGTTCAAAAAGCGAATTCATCTTTTCAACTGTGATAACACATACAAGCTAGAGCCTGTTGAAAAATTGCTGGAGAAATGTGGCATCCATGTTGAGCGTGTTGAGAAGCACTACTTCAGACTTCCTAAAATGTATGAAATGGTAGACATAATTCCCACCTTAGAGATGGATATGGCCTTTTTCGTGGTTCATGCACATGAATGTGTACTCTCGATAAACGAGGACGGCGCGGGATTTGGCTACGCCAAAATATACCGGGCTTTATTACAAGCAACGGGTAAGGAGCTGAAACATTTTCAGTTTTTTTTATCATTATTTATCATTATTAAATCTGTTTGTCTCAAACACATTTAATTTTGCTTAACAATGCGTTGTTCAGCAGGCAGCGATTTCTTTGACAAAAGCAGTGGCAAGTTTATCAAATTTACTGCGGAACTGTTGTACATTTTCCCTAACAAAGGCCCATTAGATATGTGAGTCGAAAGCGAAAGTAAATTAGCAAATCGAGGTTGGCAGTTCTCGGCGCTTGCTCCGGAAATTGGTAACTACAACTAGTTGTTTCATGCGTCGTCGAGGATCTGTTACGACTAAGGAAATCGAATTCTCGGTACAGAAATACAGTCCCACTTTGTTTGAGATACCTGCGCTGAGCAAAAAAGAATTGTACTCGAATGCTTCTTTATAATAACTTGGAACAAGGGTACACAATGGTTTAATGAAGGCAACAGATAGATCAGTAGCACAGTACATATGAACAATAGCGTAACATGCAAGAAAAATACAAAATATTTATAAAGGAATCAAAAACCTCTTGAAACTCTTTATTTAGAGAATATATTACAGTTCTCTCACTTATTGCTTTATTTTGGGACATTTCGGTTAATTTCCGGCAATTTCTCTATTACCCATGATGCATTGCGACCCCACCCATTTTCATTTGCATGATCTCTTTCATGTGTACCAGGCTTGTTACACAACAAAAAGCTTCTAGAAGCTTCTAGGGTGGTTTCAAAGCTGTTGTTTTTCCTTCGATTGCACGTAGCCGAGTGAAATGGCGGTCGAAGTGGTCGAGAGTTTTCGAAGTGACGCGCGGCTGTTTTTGCTTTCTTTCCTCAATGTAACCTGAAACCCTGAACGAAATGTTTCAAAACGTTTGGGATTTAGAAAAACGCTTCTTGCTCCCTCAATTTGTTATATTTTCTCGTGAAAATGAGCAGTTAGCTTCGTTATGAGATGAGAATGACACGGCAGGAAATTAACATGTTTGGTCCAACGCCAGCGGTACTGCGGATGGCTTACATTTGGCATTGCATCCTTTATTTACGGAAAGACGCGGTATGTTTCATAGTGTTTGGGAATCAAACATTTGCTTCATTCTCAAGATTGAAATACGCCAAAACTTTCTGGACTGGCTCTCTAGAAGATGAGAATTCCATTGTAACAAGCTTTTTACTATCACGGCGTTCTATGCCGCCGAGGGGAATACGTTTCTCCTGATTTCATGGACTGAAACATGGAGCGTGATGCTTGTACACTTGAACAAAAAGTGCTATTTTTCTCTAAGGTTAGTCTGTCTTTCAAATTGGTACATATACATCTGAAATCTCTGATTTATTGTGATATTTTAGGTGATTTTTTCCGTTGATATCTTCTGCGAGAAACACAAGAAATTTTAAGATAATGATAATTTTGTGTATGGGAATGTTACGCGTGACGCCCTAAATTATGCATATTTTTGGAAAAATTAAATTTGTAAAAAAATGAGAATTCAATAAAAATCCATGATATTATGCAAAGTTGTAGAGTATTATGTCTTTTTTATTTGTGCCAAGTCTCGGCATTGTAGCTGGAAAAGTACGAGAGATATTTTTGTTTATGTTTGCTTCTCTTTGTTTGTACACGTGAACTGTGCTACTGATCATAATCGGCTTGACTGTTGTTTTTTTCTCTTTTTATTCAGTTGTAAACCCGTTTGTATTTGCTGCCGAGCAAGGATAGGAAAAAATCTTTGCATTGCATCATTAATTTTGCTGCTAAGAAAAGCTATCAACCGAATAAAACTAACGCGATGTGATTCTGTGAATAAAGCGGCGGACAATTTAAGCGGAAGCGACTAAAACCGTTTGCGATGATCTGTTTTCCCTCTTTTGTTGGCGATCAAAATTTTTAGGCAATGTTAGGCAATGAGTTTGCATTTATTTCTGAATTTTGATTTTATTTTTCCTTTCCTAAATCAAGACAGAAGCAAACTTCCGGCGAATGCTTATAATAAGATGGATTAGACAAGAGGAACTGTTTCCAAGAATCTTGTGACAATTTCAATTCGTTTTTCAATGTTAAACCCAATTTGCGCGTGCCTGTGTGTTTCCTTGAATCTGTGGTTTAATGTTGACCTTAAGATTCATGTCATGCGTCGTTCAGACCACTAAGATATAAGATTTCAATGACTCATTGCTTGTCACTGAATTTTGGAAGTTATTAATACTTGCACTGAAAGATGTTGAAAAACGCATAGAGTCTGGGGATACTGTAATATTTTGCACTTTCATCGGGATGCCACTCGTTCAAGTTGGGTTTAAGTAGACTACATCAACTACATGTAATTGCCATTGAATCCGTCAGGGACTGTCAGGATAATATGAGTAAAAGTGAAAGCAAATTTACATTTAAAAGCCATTTTGCTTCAATGAGTAACGGCTAAGGGAACATTGAGTTAACTCTTCACAATGATAAATGCTACACAAATCAGAGGTGCCTCTATTCGGATACTGGTTTTGAGCGGCCAAAGCATATTTCTACGGAGAATTTGTATGTTATGATAAAACAGTTAACCAATGAAACCGAATTTGAAAGGTAAACATTTGTCTGCAATCAACAGTTATTTATACCACTGAAATGGGTTCAAAACGCGTTTTCAAAGCACATCAAATTAATTTGAATAATCATTCGAATTATGTGAGGACCTCCAATTACCATAAATGAACTAAGAAACATGACATGTTAAATTTTATTTGCTCTTTGTGAGAAACGTGATACTTTTCTTTATTTCCACGAGCACAAATAAAATATACAGAAATAATAAACAAATGAGATTCCGAAGACGTCTTAAGTATCCGTGTATCCGAGCCAGAGGCTCATGTATAAGACATATGGCAGTAAGCATGCAAAATACAATTAAAAAAATAGGTCCGCAATGCGTACTTGTGTGGGATTTTATTGACAAAGTGTTTGGAAGGGGTTTTTGAGCGGAAGCAAACCTGTCGCTCACTGTGAGTCAACTGTACTACAGGGGTGATATTAGGCCTGGAATCAACAGTCTGAATAGTAATTTTTGTGTGGGAATTATTTGAACAAATACAGATTCACAGGAGGGATCTGGGGTATTAACTTTTCCTTTTATCAAGCAATATGCCTTTCCTTCCCTCCCTGGAAGCTTTTTGGCGTGTATTTGAACGTTTGGTAATCGTCTTCAACAAATAAATTACCTCTTGGTGGCTTAGGCTATTTATTTGTTTATACGGCAATACTGGAAATACTTGGAGCAGTAAATATTTTCGTAACAGTCATTGAAAAAAAATTGAAAAAATTTCTGCTACTACTTTTTAACTCGTGGATACACGATAGCGTAGAAACGAGTTCTTGTGGGCGCTCTGCGATATGCAAATTAGCGTGGACTCTTCGTAATTAGTCGTAATTAGTCGGCTTCGAACTCGAGATCTATCCTTCCGAAGAAGTAAGTCCATAGTCATGGCGCTATTATGATTGCACTGATCGTTGCGATATTTATTGTCTTTACACGCCTGTTTCGACATTTACTATATTGAAATGGACTTCAAATGTTTCAGATTAGTGCTATGATCAACTTAAAAACCAAATTTGAAGCGTCTTCGAATCGTCCATGCGCTGAACATAACGAGGACCAGCGAGAATCACGAAGAGTTTGTGAGTGACAGCAAGCTGTTGACACAGAAATTCCCACGGAAACATGTACACATGACATAAAAAAAATGGTAATTTGCAGCATTATTTCTTTCTACGCCAATTTGGGTCTTTCCGTTGTAATCGTTTCGTTTTGTTATTCTTCTATGCAAGCGTGACTGTTTTGATGGTAAGAATGAAAGATGATCGCTTTCCACAAGTCGTTGCCGAGCACGTGACTATAATCTGGCCGGTGTTGTTTTTATCACTTGACAATCTTTTTCGCTGAAAATACAGGACGACTTCCTATTTCAAGGAATGTTTTTCCAATTAATTTCTATCGCATCGGTGTAAAAAAGTACAGGTATATGGGTGTTCTGAAAAACAAAAGGGAAATTCAAAACTACGAGAAATTGCGAGTAATCGGCCTCTTGTACTACACGCGGGTTTTTTTGGTGTAACATGCGCGTGTTTCCCGTAAGTTACAAGCACTTTACGCACGTGGGAATGCTGCAATCACGAATTTTATATTACGTGAAAGTCACGCATGTGGTTGTTTGCTCACTTCACTAATATGTTTGTTTGCTTGTTGTTGTTTTTTTTTTGTTGTGCAGACTGAACTGTGGAATAATTGTTTAATGCAGGGTTGTCAATAAATGTTGCAGTTAGAAATTAGCCAAGATGCTAAAGGAGCTGCCTTGAAATTTCAGGACTGTTTGTTATGTAGTTTATTTTTGTCTTTTGTAAATGGTTGTTAAACTGGACAACTCTTAGAAAGATGACTTCAAACTTAATTTTAAAAGGCCTGTTCTGGTACCAAATGAATAAGCAGCATTTCCTTATTAATAGTTTTGCAAGTTTCTCATTACAAATTCCTCTGAAAAAAGAGAAACAACTCTTTTCATAACTATTTACTGCTTTCTTTTGTTGCTCTCTTAACTTAAAAACAATGTACATCATGATAAAGTAATTTGTTATAGGACACCGTGAAATGAGGCCCAAACAGCTTTATGATCTGTGAAATGTGTTTCTAAAACATCTGCTTGTATATCAATGTTAGATATATTTGTATATATATGATCAATTACTGTGTTGTTGTCAGTTGTATAAGTTGATACGAACTGTTTGTAGTGGTTATCCCTCACTAGTAAATTATACAAAGGTCTTCTGTCTGTTTCAACAAGCCAATTTATATCAAAGTCTCTAGTAATGATATTGTTGTCTGCAGGTGAAATGTTATTTAATACCTCAGTTATTGCTTCATAAAGTTGTCTTACAGGCACATTTGGGGAGTGATATATCCCTATGATTGTCCAATCCTCAAACCTTGCTAACTTAATTACTGTTATTTCAACACCATGTATATTGTGACAATAGGGGTATCCAGGTAAGTATGGGATTTTACTGTACACAGCTGTACCACCATAAGACCTTGATCCATTGCTGGAATTAAGGTTATCATTACCAGCAATGTCATACATGTCATTATTATCTTGAGAATTAAATCTTGTTTCTGTGAAAATATTGATATCAGCACTTAGATAAATTAAGTCTTTACATATATCTTCTATGTGTTTGTGAAGAGACCTTACATTAAGATAACACAGTTTAAGAAGGGAAAATGTTATGTCATGGAGAGGGAGATGCAAAGCTTAAGTTTTGCAGTTGTTCTTAATCTCTCCATCTGGATCAACAGCAATCTTGCTTTCACACAAATCAGAAATATATAGGCCTTCTATAGCAGTCACTCTACTGAGTCCCATATAATGTATGTGTGGAATAGTATTTCTGGTACTAAAATCCACAACAATTCTACTGTCAGTATCACCTTGTGACCTGTGAATTGTTTTTGCTGCTGCGGGACGCAGTGGAAATTGTTTTCTAACAACTTGTGCTGTTCTGTTTCTACCTACCGTAAACTGTGTAGTCACAGGGTTTACTGGGGTCCATGTGTGTTCAATTCATTGTACATACAAATGTCTTTTTTCATTCCTTGTTTTCTGACCTACATCTGAGTGGTCAAATTGTACCCATACAATACCAGATAGTTTGGTTTGTTGATGTAACTGAACTAGTTTAACAACATTTCCAGCACCATTTGTCATGCCATCTTCGGTTCGTACATTCATGACAAGGTGTGTTCTTTCACCCTCAGCAAGACAAAGGGTTGAGGCTAACTGTTTTGTTTTTCTTGGATCATTGGATATTTGTCTTAGTATTTTGTTTCTTAGCTCTGGAGAGATAGCTCCAATAACACTATCTTGAGCATTTATTGTGAATTTGTTTCCTGTGGCTGCATTATGGGCCCTTTGTTTAAATTCATCTACTTTAGCATTCTGTATAAATAGGTGAGCTGCATCTATTGGGTTGTTGATGTCTTCTTGTATAGCTCTCTTTAAGTTTTGCAATGTCAGCTACTGTGTGTTTACCTTTATGCAACCTATTAAGTAATTCTACAAACAATTTGCTGTCTCTTTGACCCATGATTTCATTAAGTTCAAACATTTTAAAGTGTTTATGCCATAAACTGGGAGAAAGAACAGCATAAATCTACATTTTTGAGGTCTTTGAAAATATAAGCATCCATAACAGATTCTAATTGGAATAAGTCACCAATAGCAATTATGTTCACACCTCCAAAATCCTCTCTACAGCCTTTTATATCTTTAAGCCTATTGTTTAGCTGTATTGCAAACATACCATTTCCTACCATTGAGATTTCATCAACAAAAATCAATTGACTTCTCAAAGTGTTTAGTCTACTTGAATCAAGCTGTTTGTAATTTCTCAGTGATTGATTGGCAGGAATGGCCAGAGTGCTATGAAGAGTGTCACCCTTAAGCTTTACCAGTTGGAGCTAATAGTATAACTATGATCTGATGAAAATCATCACCAGCTCTAGTGTTATAATACTTAAGCACTGCCTGATACAAAGCTTTTGTTAAATGCGATTTGCCAACACCAGCCCCTCCACTGAGGAAGCAGTAGAAAGGGGTTTCTGAGGTTTTAATCTGATGTAAAATGTGTTAAAAAAATTCTTTTTGCTCTTTATCGGGTGTCTAGACCATTTGACGAAAATCAAAATCAGGTAATTCATTCAATATCAGTGGTTCATTATTCAGCGATGTTGATGAAATGTTGAGATCATCAAAGAGGTCATAGTTTTCACTAAAATCAGGATGTAAATCTTCATGAGATCCAATCCTTGAACGGAATTGGTCAATGGAGATCCCCATATTTACTTGTGTGCTTGAGCGAGCAACAACAACAATCCAACTAACTAGAAACTCAGTTTATTAAAATAGATAACACTCTTGACAGTTCAAGGCAAACAATAGTTTCTTTCAGTTTGTGACACTTTGAGACACTCGTGAGACATTTTGAGACACTAGTGAGACACTTTGAGACACCCTGAGACTCTTTGAAGCGCAACCCGCACAAATACATTCAAGCCGACAAATGTTGGCTTGCGAGAGTACAATGACTCCTTTCAATCTGACACAACCCGCACCGAAGGTCCAAGCCGATAAATGTTGGCTTGTGAAAGCGTAAAAGCTCCTGTGCAACCTGCACTGAACACAAGCCGCGTTTCAGCGTGTTGACTTACGTGAAAAAATCTTTTGTTATAGACACCTGAAGAAATAACGAAACAAACGCCTCAGATTATGAAAGAAAGAACACAAACCAGGTGTACAAACGTAATCGCCTTTCGTGAGAGCTTAATCGTGAAGCTCCCACAACAAAAGTGAAAAGTTAAAGCACGCAAAGAACCCGTGAAAATATGAAATGACTTATCCTTACCTTGGAAACAAAAATCCACAAGAAACAAACATGAAATTCCGAATAAGTTCTCCAAAACCCAACGACTGAGAAGAGAAATGGCCGCCGTACAATACACTATGAAAAAAAGCCGACTGGAATCCAGTCTTGAACTTTATTTTTTTTATTTAGACACGGTAAATCTATCAGATAAAATAATAATATTATTACAATCTATTATTACAGTTACAATCTATTTTAATCTATATAAACATGATCTAAAATTTAAAAGTAAAATAGAAAAAAATAAGGAAATTCTGCTTTACATAGATGCCGTGTGTGTTTTGTCGATTCAGAGGAAGAAATTGCGACAACCATTTCGGAAGGATTGAAGTGATTTTGCTTGCCGCAATTCAGGGGACAAGCTATTCCATATAACCGCACCGTTATAGCTAAAGCTATTTTTTAGGAAATTGGTGCGAGGCAATGGAACAGCTAGTTTGTTTTCAGAGTTCCTTAGATTATATGGAGGATCATATTTAGTGAAAAGAGAACCAAGATAGTCGGGCGCAAGACCATGTATAGATTTATAGACCATGGTGGCCACTTGTATTTGTCGCTGAGTATCTAACCGTCTCCAGTTAAGTTGCACAAAACTTCACGGCTCACTGAACGCAAATAGAAACCACGTGACAAGCACTTCTCTCTCGTGGACAAAGAAATAAAGAAATAAATTTCGCGGGCGTTGACAAAGTGTGGGAAATCCCACACAAAAAAACAGAAACAAAAAATTACAATAACAAGACCCTGTGAGCAGGGTAACTGGGATACCTGGATGGTACTGGATCCTTGGAATCAATTGTAGCGATAATACGGGTGTCGGACTAGTATACTGAAATAGTGAGCTCAAGTCTGGCCAAGAGCATACACCTATTTCAAAACATAGGCATGCTATGCATGCAAGAGTTATTTTTTGTAGGGTGGGTGGATTACTTGAAACATTGTAAGTGGTCTACATTCTTACAAAAGGAAAGAAGAGTATTAACGCGGAAAAGAACGAAAATGTCGAATTACCTCACACACAGGTATTTTGTGGTAGATTGTGTGTTGTGCGAATAAATGTAACCAAAAATAAACTGAATTGGTGCCACGGATACCTGTTAGTACAAAATGCAGATAGCAGACTGCAGACCGGATACAAAATATAGACTGCAGACTGCAGAGTGGGTATAAAATGCAGACTGAGAATCTGAAGAGTTTTTACGTCTGGTAAATAATAACATGTCATCTTACAGCTTACCGAGCGTTACGCAATCGCTTTTCCTCGATCAGCCTTCACGATTATTTGCACTATTGTGGAAAATTCCTGGCCCATTTCTTGATGAAAATCGATCGTAATATAATTTCAAGCCTTCAATATAGTCTTCTTACTTTGTGCGCGAGTTGGTTTGTGTGATGTCTGTACAGATTTTACCAACGTAATAAAAATAGATGATGGGAATAACAGTGATGGTTAAGCAAGCTTAAAACGGCAGAAATCACCAGAAACTACAACGGATACACAGTTCGCGACTCAATCCGGTCCAAAATTACCGCTCAATAACATCTTTTAGTGTGGATTGGCGCGAACAATACGACTTGTGTAAGCGTCTGTAAGTATTTCGAGCGTTTGCGCTATAATGCTTCAGGTGATCGTAATCCAAACACGTTGAAATACAAAACGACCAACAAAAGAGTTTCTAAGCAAAAATCTCGGGCTCGTCATGTGACCCGGACCTGTCCGTGCATGACAACGTCAATCGTCATCAAGATAACACGTGATCAGCATGTGAACACCTTCACCCTCATTGGATCACAGTTAGTTGTCATGGTGTTGAGGGCCCAATGACCACTGGGTACTATTGCGCAATTTTTCCATTTTGTGGCGGAGGGAAAAAAAAAAAAAAAAAACAAAAGACGACAAAAAAACAAAGGCATTTTATGACTGGGCTACCACAGGTATCCCAGTAATAATAATAAACTAAACTGTAATGTTCATGTAAACCGGAAGTTATCGATACCGGATGTTCGCTAGGAACTATGGGATATGTAGCAGAACGATCATGGCGTCCACCGATGCTGTAACACGTCTTCTTACAACTGTTTATTAAATCGTTGTTAATCGTTTGCATCTTGTTTTGAAATCCATTCAAAACATCACATAAACGTACAAAAATAATTACTACAATTAAAAATATCGGCACGACGGTAATACCAGGTGCTCAGTCAAAGGGGCGCATTGTTCCATATTTTACATCTGGTCATTAGAAAGGAATTTGATTAAGTGTGTCTGACATGGGAGATACAAACACATTGGCCAACAAAAAAACGTTGGAAATAGCATATTATGTGTGGAAGTATGTAATGTTACGCCTCTTTACATCTGAATCTGTTTTATTATCAGGTGGAGATGTCATCATCGTTATCGGGGGAGATGACAAATACAAGGGCGAAGACGAAGAGGAACGTGAAGTTATTTCACGTTGGGCGAAAAGGAAAGTCGTCTCACAGTTTGGCAAAGAGTATCTTGATGGCAGAAAGAGCTTTATCTTCTCTTGGAACAAACAACATCGAGCCGTTCACGAACAAGCTTTATTGCATCACTTTGACCTAAACAAGAAAGGACTAAAGTTTGAATATCGGCCGCCTACTCCAAACCAACAATCAAACTCAGAACCTCAATTGCAGGAAACATTTACAGAATTAGAAAATCCATACACATCCAAGAGTTACTCACAGAACGGTAAAGACACCTCTTTACTGACGGTTGATAAACAAGAAAGTCCGACTGATTCACACTCTAGTGGCGTTAGCAGTGCCGCGGGCGGCAGCAGAGACTTGGTGGGAATGGAACCTTCTTTCAGTAATCAAGGGGACAGTGCTTACACACCAAACACACATATGATCCGCCCAAGAGGCTTTCAAGAACCGGATATTAACGCTGAATCGTCTTCCAATTATCTACACAACGTTACCACAGATTATTTACAAACTAAATATTCAGAATTAAAAAGCTGTCATGGGGAGAGTTCCCAAAATACCCCGCAGCCTGTTCTGGCGACACAACTCCCTGGAAACCCTCCTCCCGTTGTTGTGCTGAGAAGTATTGCTCGTTATGGAAGGATATCTAATCAATTAGGTGACCTTCAAGTTTGGGACCCTGAATTTAAAATTCCAGATGACATTCAAGATAAGTTGCTTACTAAACACTGTCATACCCCTGAGACTGGAGTACGAATTATTAGGTATAGTGATGGCACACTTGAGTGTCATAATTATCAAAATCTAACAAAGTTTTTTCTGAATGAAGATATAGAGCTTGCTAAAGATGAATTTCTCGTAATGAAAACTCGTATCCGCCACGGAAAGGTGTCTTTTGAAGACGTTGATGTACAGTTTAAGTTTGGAAATGTTCATATTCCTCAAGACATTATCTATGGTTTCACAGGAAAAGATAGTGCTTACGTGTACATTATTTCAGGAACCGCAAAGAAATTTCGACTTATAGTGAAAAGGGAGGGTGCTTCTATAAGAGTAAGAGGGTTTATGAATAGAGAGTTTCATTTTTTGTCTCGTTTTCTTCAAAACTCTTAGCACCGGAGAAAATGCATTTTATGTTTGTAAGTTAGAGCGAGTTGGAGTGTCTGTGAGACGAAATACTTTTTGCGTACTTATATAGCCTATCATGTATACAATCCATTGAGGAAAAATTTTAAAAAATTACAACTCGTTTTTTTCTGGTCCAAAGGTGTTCTTATTTTGCCTAAAGTGGTTCCATAGACTGGTGAAGAGTTAGTGAGTGATGACGTAGAAAGCTGTGAAAACTTTCGATTCTCTTGTAATTTTGTATTAGTTTATTTATTAATTAGCGGTGTATACCTACTTTCAGTAAGCTCCGCCGAGGGTTGTGATATATATCTTACCCAAGTAATAAAGAAGCCCTACAAAGGAGAACAGCATGCGTCAAGCGAAAATTTCGACCAAGACCGACAAAGACGGTTTCTCGCCTGCAGTGTTCAGGTCAAGATCAGAGTAAAAATTTCCCGTTACTGAATGTTTCGTTCGTTGTGTTTGTTTCTCGTTTTCTTTAGCAAAATCCATCTTAACAATGGGAAGCTGTGTTCGTTTCTGTTGCCATAACTTATCATTCCTTAGCACTGAGTGTGGAGAATACTTCATTGATGTAATGATCAGTGCTCTGGAGTTTCGTTGCTATAGAGAAATTCCCTCTGCAAACGAAACGTTTTTGAGGGCAGCATCGAAATAATCAGCTTTATCACGAGGCACGATGATTTTCGTCGCGTAGTTATTGGACAGTTTTCCCGTGTAAGTTGCTTCTTTCATCAGGGGTTGCAAAGGCAGAGGCTATCGTCGTCGAGTCGGTCAAACGGGAACGAGTGAGTCTATAGTCATCTGATTCAAGTTCATCTCAAATAGGGATTTTAATGGAAAAAAAAACTTGTTTAGTTTGCAATGATGAAACATTGATACATAAAGGTATATAGAACTTTTCTGGAGGCAGCTAGCCTTTCGTCTCTTTTAATTAGTTTAATTGAAAGGTCGATGGTATCTGTGTTGATCTGCATTGAAAAAAAAAAACATTTATATGAATATAATTTGTATTTATAAGTACAGGTATCGAAACCTACGCGTTTTGTACTTCTAATAGCGGACGGTGAAATCGGAAACTAAATCAACTGTTTCTGAGAATCTGTTAATTTTTTTATTCCTGACGACAAAATCTTCTTTTTGGCGACCCTTTTTTAATGATTTTACTTCTTTAGGTGACGACCTTAAGAAAATTCGAGCTTGGAACCCCGATCAAGATTCCTGCGTTGCTGAAGCACAATTTATTTTTTTTCCGCCCTCATTTAAGGCAGAAAGTAAATTTCACGAATGCTTTTGAACCGAATGAGACGGAATGGAATTTAAAACTAATTTTAATTCGCTTAATGAGGTTAAGCTTAATTCATATGTGTGGTTCTATCGTAAGGTGAATTGGGACAGAAAAGTAAAATTTAGCAATGCTTTTCACTGAGTTGACGGTTTAAGATTGATCGCTTAGTTGGTGCACATGCTTCATGCAGAGTACAGAAAGCTCATTTTTAACAATTTCGTTGGGTTATTGCCTCGCGATGAATTTGGGAGTTTTACTCACGTTACCTTAGCTCATCCAGAAAAGATGTGTTCTATCTTATGCCAGGCATCTTCTCTGAATTTTCCCTTAAAGTTTTCCAGAGTTGAAAGAGAAAGGTTCAATGTTCTGTTGTTTGGACGAGGCGACTTAGAAGATTTTTAACTCAGGGGTTTCCACATTGCGGCCAAAGAAGTCGCTCCGCTAAATGACACAAGTTACCAGCTCGTCTTTTTGGATGCACTAAGTGGAAACGAGAGACAAGGGACAGAGAAACTTGAGTAGGGCTTAAGGAACAAGCAGTTGACTGTGAAACCATTTCTTGAAAATCAGGGTGATCTTGCTACCCGGCCATCTACAGCAGATCTTGCAATTGTACCTTCAAGATCGGAAGGATTTGGTTTAACCGCCCTAGAAGCGTTATTTGCTGGTCGGACTTTTCTTGTCACCCAAACCAATGGATTTGGAGAGACTGTGCAAAATGTTCTTCTTCAGAGTAACCCCTGGGCTGTACAGATTCTGAGGAATCACATAAGTGGGCTGAGGCTATTAAAAGTGTCCGCGAATCAGCAGTTGCAGAATGTCAAATTATACGGAAGAGCTATGGCAAGAATTACATCTTGGAGAGTCAATGCAAAGATCTTGTGGAAAAGATGGTTAGCCTTGCTAGTGGTAAGCACTTATCAGTATATCTCCTGTGAATCGTTCTCGTCACTGTAACAGTTCGTGAAGTTAGGTCAGGCTGCAAAACTAGGCCAACTTACTTGGTGCCTCATTTTCTTTTGTCCTGCGTGAAAACTTAGTTACACTTGCCTCTGCAATTGCAAGTGAAACTGTCGGTGATTGTCAAGATTATATGAGTAAAGGTGAAAGCTAATTTATTTTTAAAAGTCATTTGTTCAATAAATAATGGCTAAGGGAACATTGAAAATATACAGAAATAATAAACAAATGAGATTCCGAAAACGTCTTAAGGGCCTTTGCATAAACACTTCGTTAATCGAATAGCATATGTCAGATCCCTTTCGTGCAATACGGATCATACATGTATCAATCAATTGATTATTAATGACAGTGCGTGGGATAAGGTTGACCTGTGTATCCGAGCCAGAGGCTCATGTATATAATGTATGACAGAAAGCAAAATACAATTAAAAAAAAAAACCAAAAATAAAAAAAATTAATCCTATAAAAATAATTACTATAATTAAAAATATCGGCAGGGCAAATTGTCACCCCGGCTGACAAGGTTACCCTACCTGGCAGACCGGGCAACCCGCCTAGGCGGGTCACCCTACCCATCACGTAAACGTGATCAAGATAAAATAAGAAATTATATGAACAGGCGGGTTACCCAGCCTAGGCGGGTCCCCCACCTCCATGTAAATAGGCCCTAAGATGTCATCTCACGTGCACTGGACACTGAGATTTCCTTGCCTATTAATCAATTACAGAAAAAAAGATTGTCTCGCCTCACTGAGCAGTAGTGCAATCTTCTAGCGACGGGACAAACTGTTTGCAGATTTAAAAGCGAGGGTGTTTTTGTGTTAAAATGTCTGGTTTTGTAGTTTGTCTGAAGCAGCTGTATTTCTTTCAGAGAATAAATTTTTTAGGACCTATTATGGGTTTCAGTCTAATGTTCCAATATTGTGTTGGGATTGCGTGACTTATTTCGATCAGAAAAATGAGAGGCTTTCTCGGAAACATTGCGTAAGCAGTCGTCTTCCTCTCTACGCGACCTATAAATTTCAGACGTATTCTCCCAGGATTATAAAACAGCTACGTTCAAAGCGAAAGAAAAGCCATAGATAGAACATTTCGCAATTGAAAAAGCGAGTTCACCTTTTCAACTGTGATAATACGTACAAGCTAGAGCCTGTCGAGAAATTGCTTGATCAATTCCGCATCCATGGGTTGAGCGTGTAGAGAAGCACTCGTTCAGACTTGCTAAAATGTCTGAAATGGTAGACAAAATTCCAACCTTAGTGATAGATATGGCCTTTTTCATGGTTCATGCGCACGAACCTCGGCTCGCGATCAACGAAGACAACGCTGGCATTGATTACGCCAAGATATACAGGGCTTTGCCTTAATTACAGGGCTTTTCCTTAATTACACGTGTTTCGGCAAGTAAAGTTCTGTTTAGGAAAGGCAATGGTTCTTCGGTCAAATCTACTGCTAACTGTTTTATATCTGACACAACAAAGACTCGTCAGATATCGTAGTTGATAGCGAAAGTATATATGGTAGCTAGGATACTTAGATTGATATCTTGTTTTGATCAAGTTCGACGGTTGCTCTATGGCCGGTGACAAAAATCGACGTGATTAATGTGGCTGCGTCAGGGTAATACTGGAAGTAAGTTTTCAGTCCGATGTTTCTGTTCCTCGGTTATCGACTCTCAGGAGTGGGAGTACTCACATAAAGGGGAAGTGATACTAAGCTTTTTTCCACGAGTGAAAATATAATGTTCGAGGTCTACAGGAGGTGTTGCTGAACTGTCGATCAGCAGACCGCGGAACCTACGGAACGTCTGGACACAGGATGAAATAGCTCGATTATATTGCCTTAAAGGTAACTTAAAGGCTGACATAAGAAACATTTAACTCATCGTTAAGAGATGTACGAAAGTTCTGAAATGAACCTTTGACTTAGCTTTCAAGAGTCAATTAAAGTCTCTTTATGAACTATTTCATGAACACTTTAAGATCACATGAAAGCGAACCTAAATAACCAATTAGTGGACTTTAAGAATTCTCCTAAATCTCGTAAACTCGTCTTTAAATGACCAAAACTTCGACTTCTAAAGGCGTCTTGATGGTTTCTTTAATCTTTTGTTTTTCTTAAGTACTGCTTAAAGTTGCAGGTTTTGTTGTAATTCAACTTCAGTTGTGCTTTCAGGTTTTCGTAAGTTTCAAGTTTTGTTAACAATCGTCTTTCAGTGACTTTTTGGCGTTTCTTAGAGCTTCACCTTCAATTGACTTATGATTTGCCCAGTCACACCGATATTCATATATATTTTATATTTTGGGCAACCTTAAAATTGTTAGGAAAAAAGTCACTTGCAAGTGATCACAAAATGTTTGAAATTGCAGTGATGACATAATTTTGTACAAAATTCAATTGCTTCCCTAAGATAAAGCAGACCCACAATGAAGCTAAGGATATGTGGACTTGTCCCATTTGAGAGTGATACAAAATTAAAAAAGAGATGTCCAAATGTTGTGAATTACTGCTAATTGTCATACTTTGTTAAACTTGTTTCTCTTTCGTCAGTATATAATTCATATAATCTCACAATCATGTAATGTGTAATAGAATCTTTATCACCAAAATACACAAAGATTATAACTAGCTATAGTGGTACAAACGCAAAAAGCTATTAATTCACGTACTGGACTCTCAAATCCAGCGGCTAAGAAACATAATTTGAACTGATACAATAAAAAATATAAGTTTAACCCATTATCCAAAAAATCAAGATATTTTTTGCAATCAGTCTAAATTTGTAATAATTGTATCAACTGAAGCTATTTTATTTCAGATATAATACTTATTAAGAAAAAGTCTCTGTAAGAATCAAACATCTTGGGAAATGAACATTTTCAACCTCCCTTAAAATTTTCCATGCAGTTAGGCGCTATATAAGCAGATATATAAGCAGATTTCCGCGCATTCTAAGTAAAAACAACCAAAAAAAAAAGAAGTAATCCTCAATTGAACGCTCGTAAGCACTGAGAATCTGAGATTATAAATCGTAACTTGTCAGCGGCAGT